CAGAGAGAACACCAGCGGCTGCCGGGCGGAGATGAACGTGCAGGCGGCGTGGAGGCGGGGCTACACGGGGAAGAACGTGGTGGTCACCATCCTGGACGACGGCATCGAGCGCAACCACCCCGACCTGGCCCCGAACTACGTAAGCCAGACCTCGGCACGGACTCGCGGAGACGCCCCTCCGTGCTCGTCATTGCAGACGGGCAAACAGAAAACAGAGGCAGCGAGTAAACTGCCCCGCCCCCCATTAAACCAGCCAACAAAGAAAGCCAGGCCTGGAGGCCAGCCTGGTGCCCTGGTGGCCGGGGTGGCAGGAGGGGCGGGGTGCATTTCACTTTCTCTCTCTGTCCCCCTCCAATATGAGCATGTGCCCTACAGCAAATAAAAGAAAGAAAGAGGGCCAGCAGGTGGCATGATGGTTAAAGGTGCTGGATTCCCACATGGCTGACCACAGTTCGAGTCCCGGACCTGGTGGCTTGTTTTCTCCCTCTCCCTTTCTCTCTCTCTGTCTCTCTCTGGTCAAATTTAAAAAATAATAACAAATGGAAATCAATAAATAATTCTTTTAAGAAGAAAAGGAAAGAAAGAAAGAAAAAGCCATGCTGGGAGGGTTCTACTGTCACCATTCTTGGTACCAGGGAGAGTCATTTGACATTCGTGCACATGTTTGAAGAGTCATATATTTATGGGAACCAGCAGTTAGCATAATGGCTGTCGCTGGACTCCCACGTAGTTGACTGCGGTTTGCGTCCTGGACCTGGTGACTTAAACTCACGCCGGGCGCATGTGCGTGCGTGCCCAAGATCCCGAGAGGAGAATGGAGGAGAAGGGATTGTGGTGTGACCATCCCCCCTGGGGGGGTGATTTCTCGCTTTCTGTCTCTATGTCTCTGTCTGGCTGGCGAGCGCACGCGCCCTATAGGGAAAACCTCTCCCCCCCATAAAACAAAACAAAACCAAAAAAAAGAGTCATATATTTACTATATATATTGGGTTGAAAAGTCATGTTATGTGTCATATATTTATTATATATATATATATTGGGTTGAAAAGTCATGTTATGTATATTATATGTACGTAATATATACATACAGGATTGTTGGAAAAGTCATGGGCATTTTTGCATAGAGGAACATAGCAAGACCAGCAGGTGGCATAATGGTTAGGTCACTGGACTCCCACGTAGTCGATCACAGTTTGAATCACAGACCCGGCAGCTTAAAAATCACACCAGGTGCACGTGTGTGTGTGTGTGCGCGTGCGTGCCCAAGATCCCGAGAGGAGAATGGAGGAGAAGGGATTGTGGTGTGACCATCCCCCCTGGGGGGGTGATTTCTCGCTTTCTGTCTCTGTCTTTCCTGCAAGCACACACGCCCTATATGAAAAATCTCTCACAGAAGAAAAACATAGAGGGCCCAGCAGTTGGCGTAATGGCTATGTCGCTGGACTCCCACGTAGTCAACTGCAATTCAAGTCCCGGACCCGGTGGCTTAAACTCACACCAAGTGCATGTGCGTGCGTGCCCAAGATCCCGAGAGGAGAATGGAGGAGAAGGGATTGCGGCGTGGCCATCCCCCCGGGGGGTGATTTCTCGCTTTCTGTCTCTCTGTCTCTCTCTGTCTGTCTGGCGAGTGCACGCGCCCTATAGCAAAATCCTCTCCCCAAGAAACGAAGGAAGCCTGGCCCTAGTAAATACGACAATTTTGTTAAATAACCCTAAGGACCCTGGGTGCTTTAGATGGTTCAGTAAACCATATTGGATCCGCGTGGAAGATAATTGTATAGCCCTTGGAAAAGTGACAGTTTGGAAACGATGACACCACTGGAAAGTTTTTACGATATGTTTTAAAAAGAGGATGCAAAGTGTTATGGCTATATGATTTCAAGTATTTAAACAAAAACATATGCGTTAAAATAGAACATGAAGGAAATTCTGATACGTGCCACAACATGGCTGAGCCCTAAGGACCTGGTGCCAAGCACAGTGAGCCAGTCACAGAAGGTCAAATCCTCTGTGAGTCCCTTTATCTGAGGGACCTGGGATCGTCAAATTCATAGACAAGAAGTAGAAGGGGCCAGGACCAGCAGGTGGCGTGGTGGTTAGGGTTATGCACTCCCACTTGACTGACCACGGTTCGAGTCCCAGACCCAGAGGCTTGCTTTCTCGCTTTCCCTCTTTTTCTCTCTCTGGCATACGCACATGTCCTATAGCAAAATTAAAATAATAGTAATAAATAAAAGTTAAATAAAGGATCATTTTTGTAAAAGTAAAAGGGGCCAGCAGATGACATGGTAGTTAAGGTAGCTGGATCCCACATGGCCCACTGTGTGATTCAAGTCCCAGACCTGGTGGCTTGAAAATCACAGCAGAGGGACCAGCAGTTAGCGTAATGGGCTATGTCGCTGGACTCCCATGTAGTCAACCGCGGTTTGTGTCCCGGACCCGGTGGCTTAAAACTTGCTGGGCACGTGTGCGTGCGTGCCCAAGATCCCGAGAGGAGAATGGAGGAGAAGGGATTGTGGTGTGGCCATCCCCCCAGGGGGGTGATTTCTGGCTTTCTGTCTCTCTGTCTCTCTGTGTCTTTCCGGTGAGCGCATGTGCCCTATCGCAAAAACCTCTTCCCCCCCAAAAAAATAAATATAACCATATAGATAGTATGTGGCTTCTCTAGTTTTCTAAAATTATTTATTTTCATTTTAGTTATCATTACTAGTTTTTAATTTGCTATAGAGCACGTGTACTCACCAGAGAAAGAGAGAGAGAAAGAGAGAAAGCAAGCTGCCAGGTCCAGGACTCGAGCCACAGTTGGCCACGTAGGGGTCCAGTACCTTAACTACCATACCACCTGCTAACTCATCTTTCTTTTTATTTTAAGAATTATTTATTTAGAGGCCAGTAGGCGGTGTGGTGGTTAAAGGCGCTTGGACTCCCACGTGGCTAACCAGAGTTCGAGTCCCAGTCCTGACAGCTTGCTTTCTCACTTTCTCTTTCAGTCACTCTGTTCCTCTGTGCTTAAATTAAAGTAAGTAAATAAATAAAGTTAAAAATCTTTAAAAATTCTTAACGTAAAGAAAGAAAAGAATTATTTTATTTATTTATTTGTTTTAAGCAGAGAGAGACAGAAAGTGAGAAACTAAGCCATGACATCCGAGACTCGAACTGTGGTCGGCCATGTGGGAGTCCAGTGCCTTAACCACCATGCCACCAGCTGGCCCCAGCCTGTAGTTTTTAACAGAGCATAAACATCACTTCTTGAAGCATGCCCTGCCATCTCTCTTCACTCCTCAACGTCTCCTTTCTCAGGATTCCTATGCAAGCTACGATGTCAACGGGAACGATTATGACCCCTCTCCGCGATACGACGCCAGCAACGAAAACAAGTATGTCACTCTGCGTCCTCTTCCTGTGTTCTCTTTCTCTCCTCGAGGGATCCTGGAGAAGTGACGGGCCGTGGCCCTTCTACCTGCTGGGGTGCCGAGGGCGGGAGAGCTAGGGACTCAAACCTTAGTCAGCTACATGGGAGTCCAGCGACTTAGCCATTATGCCAACTGCTAGCCCCTTGAGAGAGTTTTACTACAGGGTGTATGCGCTCGCCAGGGAGAAGAGAGAGACAGAAAGCGAGGAATCACCCCCCAGGGGGGATGGCCACGCCGCAATCCCTTCTCCTCCATTCTCCTCTCAGGATTTTGGGCACGCACGCACACGCGCCCAGCGTGAGTTTAAGCCACCAGGTTGGGGACTTAAATCACGGTTGCCTACGTGGGAGTCCAGTGACATAACTATTACTCCATCTGCTGGTCCCATGGGATATTTTATTTCATTTATTAATATTTTAAATAATTATTTAATTTTATTCTTCATAATCATCATTATTATTTTAATTGAACACAGAGAGACTGAGAGAAAGAGAAAGGGAAATTGAGAAAGCAAGCCACCAGGTCTGGGACTCAAATCGTGGTCAGCCATGTGGGAATCCAGCACCTCAACCACCTTGACACCTGCCAGCCGCCCTCCATGGAATTATTTTGGGGGGGGGGGAGATTTTTGCTATAGGGCAGGTGTGCTCACCAGAAAGACGGAGAGAGAGCAGAAAGCTAGAAATCACCCCCCAGGGGGATGGCCATGCCGCAATCCCTTCTCCTCCATTCTCCTCTCAGGATCTTGGGCACGCACGCACACATGCCTGGTGTGAGTTTAAGCCACCGGGTCCGGGACTCGAACCATCGTCAGCCATGCAGGAGTTCAGCCCCTTAACTAATATGCCATGTGCTGCATGTTTTACAAGCTGCCAGGTCCGTGACTCAAACCACAGAGTCGGCTGTATGGGATCCAGCACCTTAACCACCATGCCACCTGCTGGTCCTGGCCCCATCATTTTATAAGTGCGGTGAAGTCAGTTAAAATCAGATGGCTTGGGTGGTCATTGGCAGCCCCAGGGTCAGTCTTGGGAATCCACTTAGCTGTGCCTGCTTGTCCTCTCTCTCTGCCACGTCCTGAGTGCTTGCCATTCTTCCAGAAATATTTAGAGGAAATTTTTAAAAAGCCCTTTCTTTCTTCCACACGAAGGACTCGAAGACGCTTGCCAACGGGCATCCTTGCACCGTGGTATTTTTAGCTGGCGTTGGCTCCGTTCTGAGGCTTGCAAGCTGCTGCCCGCTTGCCCAGGGCTGTACAGGGGGGCTCAGGAGGCACCAGCGTGGCCTGTGTTTGACAAAGAGGCCACAGGGTCCCAGAGCTGCAGAACCAGCTCAGGGCTGTTCTCCCGGCCTCACGTGCCAAGGTGCCCTTCAGTGAAACAGCGAGGATGCCTGGGGCATGGGGACCGATTTCCTGGTGACACCCGGGGAGGACAGAAGAAATGGTCCAGATCCCACACAGTGACCCTTGAAGGGTGGCCCCGAGTCCCAGCAGGAGACAGCGAGCGCTGTGACACTGAACAGCCCTGGCCTTGGGCCTGCAAGCTCCTTTCCAAAGCGCCACCCTGCAGACCCGGGACGATTTTTGTTTTTGGAGAGGTTTTTGCTATAGGGCACGTGCGCTCACCAGAAAGACAGAGAGAGACAGAGAGACAGAAAGCAAGAAATCACCCCCAAGGGGGGATGGCCATGCTGCAATCCCTTCTCCTCCATTCTCCTCTCGGGATCTTGGGCACGCACGCACACGCGCCCGGCGTGAGTTTAAGCCACCGGGTCCGGGACTCAAACCACGGTCGACTACGTGGGAGTCCAGCAACATAGCCATTATGCTAACTGCTGGTCCCCATGACAATTTTTTAAGATGGTTTTCTTTATATTTGAACCGATGACTCTCATTGCCTGTGGACTCTGCTTCAAGATTGCTTTTGCCGGTGGTCTATGTCTTGGCCTCCCGCCGAAGGACGGACCCACATCACATGTCGAGAAGGGGGTCATTATGAGAAAACAATTTGTCTTTCTGGTCATTTCTGCATAGTCCCCCCTGCTGCTACTAAATATCCAGTTTGGTGTGTTCGTCCTCAGTTCCTGCTTAAGTGACCATGGAATGGCAGGAGGCCATTCTGGGCGAGCCTGGTGTTGTCGCCATACTGGGGACAAGATGGGAGAGACGAGTGTCCCTTGGCTCTGTCCTTCCACGTGTCGGGCAGGCATTGACGCCATCCTTGTACGTGCCGAGTGACCTGTTGTTAGTCGGCCACTGGCAGGTGCCAGGGAGAGGGGAGAGGGGCTCCAGCTTGGGCTTGGAGCTCAGGGAAGTCGCCAGGAGAGACCTCCCATGAGCAAGGGCTTGCCATTTGCAGGGTGGCCAGAGGGAGGCGCAAATGCCACCCTGAGGCCCATCCCAAGGCAGGCCGTGATGAGAGGGGACAGAGACCATCTCCAGGCTAGGGACAACGGACTCCCGTTGCTCTGGAAGCAGGCCTCACTCAGAGGTCACACATACGTGCTGGGAGGGACCCTAACTTCGCTTTCTCCTTCGATTCAGACATGGCACGCGCTGTGCAGGAGAAGTGGCCGCTTCCGCCAACAACTCTTACTGCATCGTGGGCATCGCCTACAACGCCAAGATTGGAGGTAAGGCCCGGAGCCTGGCGGCCTGGGGCTGGAGGGGTGGAGTGGGGGGAGCTGAGAGATTCTTTCTGCGGCCCCAACGACCTCACTTCCTGTGGTCTGGACCCTGACAGACCCGTGGACGGGGCCTCAGGACAGACTGCTCCCAGTTTGGGCTGCAAAGCTACCGCCAGGCCCATCAGAAAGGGCCTCTCTTTCTGTCCTGTGGTCAGGCTAGCCCCACCGACTCATTGCTGCAACCAGACCGTCCCTCTATTAAGGCCGGGTTGGCCTTGCTCTTAATCCGTCCATGGCTCCCTATTTTTTTTAGAGAGAGATTTTTGCCATAAGGTGCATGCTCTTGCTAGAGAGACAGAGAGCAAGAAATCACCCTACCCCAGGGGGAAATGGCCATACCCCTATCCCTTCTCCTCCATTCCCCTCTTGGGATTTTGGGCTCGCACACATGTGACAGGCATGAGTTTTAAGCTGCCAGGCCCGGGACTTGAACTGTCGGAGTCCATTATGCCATCTGCTGGTCCGGGTGGTTTTCTGTGTCTTTTCAGCCGGGTTTACGGTCTCCAGCTGGAACTAAGGCCCCGACTCCCTCTTGAGCCTGCCGGTCACCTCTGACTTGCCCTTTGGCTTTATCCAGGCGACACATGGCATTAGAGACTCGCCCCAGCTGCTCTGTTTCTGTCTGGGCTTTCTCCGGTTCCCTTCCTGCCCCTCCACGTGGCTCTGTGCACCTGACTCCAGGCCAGCTTGTGCCCTCGCCAATCTGCAAGGTGCTCCCTGCAGCCACCATGCCTCTCGCCTCACGCAGCAGGAGAGTCAGCTCTCCTGGGTCCCGTTAAGGGGCTTGGTATTTATTTCCATTTTCGCAAGTCGAGCTGGTGCCAGGATGGGGCAGTAGAGTATGCTCCGACTTCCCCGACTGCAGCCTGGCAGCATGGCGGCTCAGTCACCAAGTCTTCTGGAGTCCCACTAGGGGCACATGGCCAAGCCTGGGATGGTTGAGGGTGAGGGCAGAGGGGAGGGTGTCTCACAGTCTGGCCGGGAGGTTTTGGGCTCTCCCTTGCAGGACACCATTGCTCCCACTGCTGTGACTTCGCCAGGACAGCAGGCACCCTCAGCTCCACTTATAAGCAGCACCACGGGGAAGTTAGACTCAGGTTACTCTGGATCACCCAGCGCCGGGGGTAGTTTTTGCAGTTTTGAAAAGTGGTTCCTAACTTTTTTTTTTTTTTTTTTTTTTTTTTGAGGAGGTTTTTTTCAGAAGGGGCAGAAAGCTAGAAAGACAGAAAGCGAGAAATCACCCCCCCACGAGGGATGACCACAACGCAATCCCTTCTCCTCCGTTCTCCTCTCGGGATCTTGGGCACACACGCACATGCGCCCGGTGTGAGTTTTAAGCTTCCGGGTCCAGGACTCGAACTACAGTCAACTATGTGGGAGTCCAGTGACATTACCACTACGCCATCTGCTGGTCCCAAGGGGGCCCCAACTTTTGCTTAATCAGGACTCTCTGCCTCCTTTTCTCTTGGAAACCTTGGGCGTGACTGGGACCTGTCATTCTTGGGCAAGATTAACCCCCAAGGGCGTGTTCTGTATTAGAAATCTCTAGACTGAGTCCACTGGTCTCCCTCCTTTGGGGTAGTTCATTTTTTTTTTTAGTTTGCTGTAGGTCGCATGTACTCCCTGGAGAGAGACAAAGAGAGGGAAAGTGAGAAATCACCCTCCAGGGGGAACTAGCAGTTAGCGTAATGGCTATGTCGCTGGACTCCCATATAGTTGACCGCGGTTCGCGTCCCTGACCTGGTGGCTTAAAACTCACGCCGGGCGCGTGTGCGTGCATGCCCAAGATCCCGAGAGGAGAATGGAGGAGAAGGGATTGCAGCATGGCCATCTCCCCCTGGGGGGTGATTTCTCGCTTTCTGTCTCTATGTCTCTCTCTGTCAGTCTGGCAAGCGCACGTGCCCTATAGCGAAAACCTCTCCAAAAAAAAAAAAAAAGATAGAAATCGCCCTCCAGGGAGGATAGCCACGCTACAATCCTGCAGTCTGGTCTCTATTCTCCTTCTGGGGTTTTGGACACGCATGCACATGCTTCCAACGTGTTGTTTTTGTTTGCGTTTAGAGGTTTTTGCTATAGGGCGCATGTACTCGCCAGAAAGACAGAGAGAGACAGAGAGACAGAAAGCGAGAAATCACCCCCCAGGGGAATGGCCATGCCGCAATCCCTTCTCCTCCATTCTCCTCTCGGGATCTTGGGCACGCACGCACACGCTCGCACCCACCATGAGTTTAAGGCACCGGGTCCAGGATTCAAACTGCGGTTGACTACGTGGAAGTGCACCGACATAGTTATTATGCTAATTGCTGGTTTCACTGACGTGTTTTTCAAGCTCCGGGACTCAAACTGCACTGTCAGCCATGTAGGATCCGGGCACCTTAGCCAACATGTCATCTGCTGGCCAGAGATGTAGTAGTTCTTTTTTTTTTTGGAGAGCTTTTTGCTATAGGGCATGAGCACTCACCAGAGACAGAAAGCGAGAAATCAGCCCCCGGGGCAATGGCCACGCCGCAATCCCTTCTCCTCCATTCTCCTCTCGGGATCTTGGGCACGCACGCACACACGCCCCGGCGTGAGTTCAAGCTGCCAAGTCTGGGACTCGAACCGCGGTCGACTACACGGGAGTCCAGTGACAGCCATTACGCTAACTGCTGGTCCCGCTGCAATACCTTCTTAACCCATTTAGCCTTTTTGCTGTTGTTTTCCTCTCAGAGTTATTGAAGTATTTTCAGATATGTAGGTAGGGGGTCAGCCAAGTGGCCAAGGGGAGTTTGTGTTTCCGTCTCATTATATGTAGCTGTCTCCTTCCTGAGATTTCTCCTCTAAATTTCCAGCTGCCCTGGCATTCCCTAGCTCCATTCCTTCACTTCTCAAGAAAATAGGATTACATTTTCTTTTTTCTTTTAAAAATGTTTTCAGAGAGTGCATGTGCTGGAGGGAGACAGAGAGAGAGAGACAGAGAGAGAGGGAGACCCCCCCCCATGGGAATAGCCACACTGCAATCCCTTCCCCTCCGTTTCTCCCTCCTTTTGGGATTTTTCAGGCATGCACACACACATGCCCAGCATGTTTCTCAAGGCACCAGGTACAGAACTTGAACCACGCACTCGGCCACGTGGGATCCAGCCATCTTAACCACCACACCAGGGGCCGGCCCACAATTATGTTCTCATGATGGAGCTCTAGCCTCTTTCCATCAAGAGAAATAGGGAGTTCCCTCAGAAAAGAAGGCATGCAGGGACCAGCAGTTGGCATAATGGCTATGTCGCTGGACTCCCACGTAGTCGACCGTGGTTCGTGTCCTGGACCCGGTGGCTTAAAACTCACGCCGGGCGCGTGTGCGTGCGTGCCCAAGATCCCGAGAGGAGAATGGAGGAGAAGGGATTGTGGCGTGACCATCCCCCCTGGGGGGTGATTTCTCGCTTTCTGTCTCTATGTCTCTCTCTGTCTGTCTGGCGAGCGCACGCGCCCTACAGTGAAAATCTCTCCAAAAATAAATAAATAAATAAATAAAACTTGTGGATCATGCTTTTTTGTCAAATAGATTGTGTGCTCTTTTTTTAATATTTATTTCATTTTATTTTATTTTATTTATTCATTCATTTTTTAATTTGACCAGAGAGAGAGAGAGAGAGAGAGAGAGGGAAAGTAAGAAAGCAAGCTACCAGGTCCAGGACTTGAACCATGGTCAGCCATGTGGAGTGTCCAGCACCTTAACCACCATGCCACCTGCTGATCCCCAATTTTGCACTTTTTATCTCTTACTACACGGCAGTCATTTCAAAATGTAGCTGCTTAAAGCAATGAACATTTGCTATCTAGCACAGATAGGGTTTAGCTGAGTGGAGCTGGCTCAGGGCCAGTTTTAAAATTGCAGGTGAACCATTGGCTGGACTACAGTCTGTAGAACTAACTTGCTGGAAGATTCACTTGCAAGATGGGTCACTCATAGGTCCGGCAGGTGGCATGGTGGTTAAGGTGCTGAACTCCCATATAGCCAACTATGGTTTGAATTCAGGATTTGGCGGCTTCCATTCTTGCTCTCCTCTCTCTCTCTCTCTCTCTCTCTCTCTCTCGTCAAATTGAAGAAGAAGAAGAAATAAAATTAAATAAAGAATTATTTTTTTTAAAAAAAGAATTATTTATTTTTTGGAGACCAGCAGATGACGTAATGGTTCCATTGCTAGACTCCCACATAGTTCACCACGGTTCAAGTCCCAGAACTGGTGGCTTAAAACTTACACTGCATGCATGTGTGTACATGCCCAAAAATCACAAAAGGAGAATGGAGGAGAAGGGATTATAGTGAGGCTATCCTCCCTGGGGAGCGGGGATGGGGGTGATTTCTCATTTTCTGTCTCTCTGCGTCTCTGGAGAGGACACGCATCCTATAGCAAAACTCTCTTTCCAAAGAAAAAAGGAAAAGAATTATTTATTTTAATTTTTATTTATTCATCCATTTATTTTCATTTGACCAGACACAGAGAGAGAGGGAAAGTGAGAGAGCAAGCCACCAGGTCCGAGACGCAAACCAAGGTCGGCCGTGTGGGAATCTAGCACCTTAACCACCACGCCACCTGCTGGCCCCTGGCATGTCTTTCAAGCCATCGGGCCCGGGATTCAAACTAGCCAACCATGTGGGAACCACACCATTGGCTGGCCCAGGCTGCACTTTCCGAATGGAAAAGTGTCAAAGGATTGGTGGACATAGTTTAAAATCACCATAAATGGACTCTTTATATAAATGGAATACATTTTTCTAGCCAACTTCCTTTGTGAAATTACCTATTCCTTTTAAGTTCTGTCACAAAATACAGGTCAAATGAAAGGATTTGTGGAACTGCCCCAAGTATATCGTTGTTTTTTTTTTTTAATAATAAATTATTTATTTAATTTTATTTATGGTTATTATTTTTTAATTTGACTAGAGAAAGAAACAGAGAGAAAGG